AGTATATATTAAACACACAAACTACAATGGAACATTACATCTTAATTGTTATATTTTACTCTTGTATCACGTCAAACTTTCAGGTGAGCTTAGTTTTAGAGATGTTCCTTACTTCGGGAATGAGTCATTATTTTGAAAGTGTATGTTACACATGAATTAAAATGGAACTGTACATCTTAATTGTTATATTTTACTCTTGTATCACGTCAAACTTTCAGGAGAGCCTAGTTTTAGAAATGTTCCTTACTTCAAGGATGTGTTATTATGTTGAATGTATATGTCACACAAAAACTACAATGGAATATTACATCTTAGTTGTTACATTTTCTTGTTGTATCAAGTCAAACTTTCAGGAGAGCTTAGTTTTAGAAATGTTCCTTACTTCAAGGATGTGTTATTATGTTGAATGTATATGTCACACAAAAACTACAATGGAATATTACATCTTAGTTGTTACATTTTCTTGTTGTATCAAGTCAAGCTTTCAGGAGAGCCTAATTTTAGAGATGGTTCTTTTTTCAGAGATGAACTCTTTAAGAAAAGCTTAGCCAAGTTGCGACAAGATATTATTAAGGCCAACACCTTAGTAAGAGAAGCCAACTTCCTTGCCGAGGAGATGGGAAAAGAGACTGCTTTTAAAGTCACCCTACAGATTCCAGCAGCCAATCTCAGCCCCAATAGAAAAGTAAGACTTTAAATTGAATTTTTGAAAACCTAATAATTTTTATTTGTGTTTTTTTAGAATAAGCATTTATTTATTAAACTTCATTAATTTGGAGAGCAGAGGTGTACATTTGTTTTTCAGTTTTGCATCCTTTTTGTGTTATATCAGGTATTTAAAACTGCATTTGGTAAAGTGAGTCAGTGCAAGAGTTTTTATGGTTTAGAAAAATTACATAATGGTGTTTAGAGTCAGTCAAAATCACCACAACACACCAACCATGATACAGATAGCATTATTAACTTTTGTATGTGCAGCAATATTTGTTTAAGAAAAATAAAGTTTTTTAGTTTTTGTTTGAAATATTATATGACTATAAGTGAGAATACTTTTCTAAATGTCAAGTTCAATGTTGACATTAGAAAAAACGTGCTGAGGTCACCTTTTTTTCAGTAAAATTGTTCACATGAAAAAAAACAACCTGTAGAAAATGAGCAGAGAACAACATTCTAAGAATGGTACTGTTTTCACGAAAAGGAGAATGAAACATGTTTTATAACAATAATTCTGCATGATCAGTGTACTGAAACCAACTTCATATAACAAATTTATTTCAACAAAGATGTCATTCAGAATATTCTATTGAAGTAAAATTCTTCGAACGATATTTTGTCTATGAAGTGTGACCAACCTTTCAGGGAAATATATTGATTTTCACAAACAGAAAAAAAAAAGAGTACAGTCTTTCATGAAACTTATCAATATGTAGAATATATGGAGATTTTTTACATATAGTGTAAGTTGGCTGCATATATTTTATTTTATTTAACTTTGTTGTTTATAAGTGTGAAATTAAATGTGTTACCTAATTTAGACTATGTAATTTTACATCCACTTGTTGTACTAAGTGTATCAAATAGAAATTAAGAACTAACTGAATGACAAACTCTAATGTCTCTCCCAGTGAGGTGTAAGTTGGATTTTCATCTCAACCAGAGAAAACGTTTGTTAAAATCACTTCAGTTTTTGTGTGTTTTTATGTTCATATGTTAATGGCAATCTCTCTCTCTCTCTCCAGACATTAATCCAGCTGGTTTCTGCAACATTGAAAAATAAGTTTTTAATAGATTGTGAATTAATTTCTGTTTTATTATCACGTACGTTAGCTTCTGTCTTGTCATTTTTTCATTTTGTGTAGCATTTTCTGTTTTGTATGTTTGTTTTCTTACCAGCGTGGGGCCTTTGTTAGCGAACCAGCTATATTGGTCAAGAGAAAAAATAGGTGGAAACAGGTGTGGTCCACAGAGAAGTTGGAAAACAAGTTGATTGATATGAGGGAGATATATGAAGAAAGAAAAGAAGAGGGGTTATCTCTGAAGGTCAGAAAAATAGTTCAGTTAACCTTGATATAAGTGTTACAAGTGTACTAATAAGTAATCAGATGTATGGATACATGTGGATTTTTAAACAAAATAGTTATGTTAAAGAGCATTTGTTAAGTATTTTTTGATATGAGAAAGTGTAATAAGATTAATTACTTGTTTGTTAACCTTTTCCATTATTTCAGCACTGTGTAAAAGTTCTTTTATAATGTATGTGTGTGTGTATATAAAAACTTTAAAGCACAGAATGTAAAATTGAGAAAAGATGTCATGAACCTGTATGTTCTCTAGCTTTTTTACTTATTATATATTTATTTAAAACTAAACATATGCTAAATGCTTGTGCATTATGTTTGATTAACAAAGTAAGGGTTTTTAAAAGTTATATATTCACAATTTAGGATGACGATCAAGATAAAAACAAAGACCCATTCTATGAAACTCAAGAGAACCATCACCTTATTGGTGTAGCCAATGTATTTCTTGAAGTTTTATTTCACAATGTTGAGCTTGATTATCACATTCCAATTATTAGCCAGCAAGGAGAGGTTGGTACAAATTGTGTTATTTATTCACTATGATTTTTCTAATACTTTAGTTTTCCAGCTTTCATTCAAAAATGGGGCAACATAAGGAACTTTAACATTATTTACCCTTTTAAAATATTAATTACATCATGTGTTGAAATGTGATGGTTTGGTTATAAATTACATCATGTGTTAAAATGTGATGGTTTGGTTATAGATTACACTATGTGTTAAAATGTGATGGTTTGGTTATGAATTAAATCATGTGTTAAAATGTGATGGTTTGGTTATGAATTACATCATGTGTTAAAATGTGATGGTTTGAGTATAGATTACACCATGTGTTAAAATGTGATGGTTTGGTTATGAATTACACCATGTGTTAAAATATGATGGTTTGGTTATGAATTACATCATGTGTTAAAATGTGATGGTTTGGTTATGAATTACATCATGTGTTAAAATGTGATGGTTTGGTTATGAATTAAATCATGTGTTGAAATGTGATTGGTTAATTAGAAGTTATTGAGATAATGTGAATTTTAAATACTAATAATAAAAAGTGAAAATGATTGTTAAAAATTCTTTTATAGGAGTTTCTTCATTTCTTTAATATTGACAGTTAACTTAAAGTTATGAAGTTATTACATTTCTTTAGTGTTTAATAAATGACTAGATATTTTTATATGAATCCACTTTTAACTTTAAATGAATGGTTTTCATAGGTGGCTGGAAGACTTCATGTTGGGATTGAGAGGATAGCAGGAATAATTCCAGATAGACTGAGTGACTCTTGCTCCTCAGAAGGAAGCATTCTTGATAGAGAAAGCTTGAGGGGTTCTTTAATTGACGTCAGTAGCCACAGTGAAGAGGGGAATGATCCAGTGCTTACTAAACAGGCTGTTATAAAGGTAAAAAGGAGAATATTGAATAAATAATTAAGAAAACTTTTTAAAGTGTTATTTAAACATTGGTAAATTTAGAGCAAAAAGATATAAGTATTTACTTCCTTTACAAGCATGCATATTATACATTGTATTGATTAATAAGATATAATTGTTGGATTGTTACTTTGTTAAAATGTTATTGTTGGATTTTTACATTGTTAAAATATAATTGTTAGATTGTTATTTTATCAAAAATATCTAATTGTGGAATCATTAAATTGTTAAAATGTAATTCTTGGATTGTTATGTACTTATGATGAAAGTATATGAATATAACATTGTGTGAATGGGATGATTATGTGGAATACAGTTACAGAATACTGAACTCATTTCAGAATGTATTACCTCCAGACTGTATAATGACTATACATACAGAGAATACCAGTTATTTTTTATTTTCTTTAAAAAAATTGTTAATTTCAGTTACAGGTATCATATAATATTAGTATGTTTAAAGTATCTATAAGTTATTGTTATTATGCAATGTCTCTCTCAGTGAGATGGAGAGATCTGTGGAAGACCATGGTCACCAACGTCCTCTTTGGATATAGTGAGATGGAGAGATCTGTGGAAGACCATGGTCACCAACATCCTGTTTGGATATGGTACACAGACTATTTACCATATCCAAATAGGACTTTGGTGACCATGGTCTTCCACAGATTTCTCTCTCTCTCTCTCTCTATTTACCATATCCAAATAGGACTTTGGTGACCATGGTCTTCCACAGATTTCTCTCTCTCTCTATGTACCATATCCAAATAGGACTTTGGTGACCATGGTCTTCCACAGATTTCTCTCTCTCTC